ACTACTACTACTACTACTACTACTACTACTACTACTACTAGTACTACTACTACTACTACCACTACTACTACTACTACTACTACTACTACTACTACTACTACTACTACTACTACTACTATTCCTACTACTATTACTAGTACTACTACTACTACTACTACTACTACTACTACTACTACCACCACCCACGACGACTACTACTACTACTACTACTACTACTACTTCTGCTGCTGCCGCTACTACTGCTACTTGTGCTACTACTGCTACTACTACTACTACTACTATTACTACTACTACTACTACGACTACTACTACTACTACTACGACTACTACTAGTACTACTACGACTGGTACTACAATACCACATTAGTGAACTACTACAGTACTACAATACTACAGTACGAGCGTACTACTATCAGTCCAATACTTCAACACACATACTACAACCATTACTACGATTACTCGAAGGTGTTGATATCAGCTTAACGGAACTGTTGCGACTGCACGACCGTAGAAGCGAACTGCTACTTTCCTAATTGGGGTCTAGGGTGTTATAACATTCGAGATGGTAATACGACAAACACCAATACTACTACTACTACTACTACTACTACTACGACGACTACTACTACTACGACTTCTGCTACTACTACGACGACTACTACTACTACTACTACTACTACTACTACGACTACCATCGATCCTACTACTACTACTACTACTACTACTACTACTACGACTACTACTATTACTACTACTAGTACTACTAGTACTACTACTACTACTACTACTACTACTACTACTACTACTACTACTACTACTACTATTACAACTACTACTACTACTACTACTACTACTACTACTACTACTACTACTGCTACTACTACTACTACTACTACTACTACTACTACTACTTTTACTACAGCATTCCAAGACTTCTATAACCAGGCAGTACTAAAGCATTTCTATTCTACAGCACTGTTACAACACTGCTGCAACATAACGATCAGAATTCTAGATGGATGCGATTACAGAATGACTGCCTTCTTGTGGCTTTGGGCTTCGATGACGTGTTCCGTTGGGTGTTGCTATGTGCCCAGCGACTGCGTCTCCCATCGCGATCTTCACACAACTCTGTAGGGAAACTACCACCCAACAGCTTCCCAGTCGCCACGGGCACGCAGGCATATGGCAAACGGTGATACGGCGGAACGCGCGAAGCGTTCCGCCGCCCCACCGGAAAAGGCGCGTGAGATCCCCGCAGCAAGTTTCTACCAGTACTTGTCTTCCTAAATACCTCATCTGTGCACTTCTAATGTTCACACCTTCCTCAGACTTGTATCCACCCCTCCTGGAGTCCCCCTGCGGGCCGCGCACTCCGCCGGGTCCCACTCCCTGGCTGCACAATCGAAGCCCGCTGGCCAGCATTCTGACCTCAAACCAGGCCTGCCTTCGCACGCGTGGCTTCTGGGCAGTTCTGGGCTCCCTCTTGGAATTCTCTGGGCCTCCCCGTGGGGGCCCTTTGGGGTCCTTTTCAAGCCGTTTGGGATCCCTGTTCGGGCCGTCTTCGGCCGTCTTGGAAACCTGTGAAGCCCTCTTGAAGTATCCCCAGCCAAGAACCCAGGGAAGCCAAAAACTTGTAAAAGCGAAATGATGTGTTACAAGCTTGCGATTTAGGCCCTATACTTGCACCTCTGAGAACGTCTCGTCGAACCGCTCGTCGGAATGTTCGTGCCTGTCTGGCCACTTTCGGAGAAGCTTCTTGGATCGTCGTGAAGGCTTCCTGGAGCCATCTTGGGCCGTCTGGCCGTCATCTTGGCGCCCTCTTCAGCTGTCTTGCGGTCCCTGGAGGGTTCCCAGAGGCCGCTGCAAAAACCAAAAACCAAAACCCGCAGCTGCATTTTTCCCCCCTGTCCCCCTTTTTTACCCGCAGTCACCTCTCTCGACACCTTTGGGTGCTTGAGGGCTGTTTTCGGTGCCTCGTAAAGCTCACCTGGGCAATGTTTGGCTGTTGTTGGGGCCTCTAGGGCTGCGACCCCTTTCCACGTCCTCTGCAACTTATGTTGTCCTCTCCTGTCTCCACCAGGCCTCCCAAAGTCCTTTCGAAGGCTTCGTACCACGCCAATGTGTCATCAAAGCGGCCGCATTTCGAAAGCGTGGGGCAGCCCCGTCTGCCACCTCAGGGGCGTTCAATTGAATTGGAAATCTCCGTGGGACACCTGCTTGAAGGCCAGTTTCTTGTCCGATGTGGCTGCTGTATCGGATTACTGGCGCGGAGCATCTTGCAGCAAGGCCAGGACCCCCCAGGCAGAATTAAAATAGAATGAGAGCGCAGCAGCATCAAAGGAACCATAATCAGTTGGCAGGGTTATAAGACGAGCACGTGTTGGCACCCCCCCAGAGTGCCCGCCGCCGAAACCAACAAAGCGATAGAGAAAGAGAGAGAGAGAGAGACAGAGAGAAAAAAAAATGGGGACGAAGGACTGTGAAGACATTAAGCGGAAGATTTATTGAAGAGGGAACACAGGGTGCGAGAGGGTGACTAGCGCACCAGCGGGGGAAAATAAATTGGAAACTGGAGGGAGATGGAGTGGAAAGAATGAGTGAGGAAGAGGGGGGGATGGAAAGATGAATCCGCCGACCTTTCGGCGTGCGTGGGACGCTGTCGTTTTTTTTTTCACTCGTCGTGTCCAAGAGACTATTTTAATTATCCTGGCAAAGGACCCAATCATATGCAGTTGTGAGTACCGCAATTGTGAATATTTTCTTCGGTGGTGCCCACGAACCGCATGAGGGGCGTGCCGACATGTGGCGCGGCACGCAACACGAAGGAGAACGATTGGTCTAATTGCGAGAGACTGAGCGCGGGTGAATCTGAGCGCGAGTGAGTCTAAGTGTGAATGAGTCTGCGCGCGAGCGAATATATTTGCACGAATGCGATCATGGCTACGCCTCGTGTCAATGTATATGAATGTGAACGGCTCGGCATGCCTGTCTGTGCACTCGTGACACTGAACGTGGCCGCCGCAGAAAGCTTCCGCGGGAACCCCAACGGCAGCGCCCGCGCGCCGCGACGCCCATGTCGGCACGTCCCTCACGAGGATCGCGCCCGCTTCCTTCCCTTCTTTTCCTCCCTTTTTGCCCGCGCACTCCAAAGTCCAAAGCTGCGGGCGCAGCGCGGCGCGGAGCCCCCGCGACGCGCGCCGGTCGCCTCGGAAGGGCCCCAACGACGCGCGCGGGTCGTCCGCTGCGGGGAGCAAAGAGAGCTAGCTAGCTGGCTGGCTGATAGCGGGCACGGCTCCGACCGCTGAACAGAGCGACGACGGCCCAGCGAGGCGCTAGGAAAAACGCAGCACGGCGTTCCCGCGACGCGCGTTGGTCGCCCCGGGAGGGCCCCAGCGACGCGCGCGGGTCGTCCGCGGCGCGAGGTCAAACAATTAGTTGGGCAATCGAGAGATGGCGCGGCTCGGGGGGGGGGGGGAGGCGCTCCTCATGTCAGGCCTCGCGGATAAACTCGATGAAACCGAGCTCCCTGGCGAGGGCCGTCGCCTCCCTCCTGCACCGTTTCGCGCGCGCCGCACACTGCTCCAGCTGCTTTCGCAAGCCCTCTGGCGGCCCTGCCAGGAAGAACTCGATGCGCGGCGCCCGCATGAGAAGGAGGTCCTCGTGGCGCGTGGCGCGCGAGAGCAGCACATAGAGCTCCAGCCACCAGTCGTCGTCCTCCTTCTTGCCGTTCCCGACCTCGTGGCGGCCGCAGTCCAGGATCGCGCTTGGGCGAGTGAGTGAGTGAGTGAGTGAGTGAGTGAGTGAGTGAGTGAGTGAGTGAAGAGCACACAAGTGAAAAGAAAAGTCTAGGGGGCAGAGACCAGCAAACCGCCTGAGGCATCCCCCCAATCCGAGCGCGAATCCTGAAGATTCCCCACCCCTAGCGATTCCGCCTTGGGGTGCCCCAGTGCCAGGCCTGCTATATCGCGGTGAACACTGAACCACCAACCAAAAGTCTCGGGGGTGGGGGCAGAAACAGGCAAACCGCCTGACACATCTCCACAAAGTGAACGCGAACCCTGGAGTGTCCCCACCCGTGGCGACTCCCCCTTGGGATGCCCAAGTATCACGCCTGCTACATCGCGGTGAACATTGGATCACAAACAGATCCATGGGGACAGAAACATGCAAACCGCCTGAGACATCCCCACAGTCTGGACGCGAACACTGGAATGCCTCCACCCCTTGCGGCTCCGCCTTGGGTTGCCCAACTGCCACGCCTGCTTCACCGCGGTCAGCATTGGACCACCAAAAGGAAAAAGTCTGGGGGCAGAAGCAGGCAAACCGCCTGAGACATCCTCACATTTGGCTTCGAAAGCAAGATATGTTGGGCACGCAAACAGGCAAATCGCCTGAAGCATCCCCATGATCTGGGCACGAATCCTGGAGTGTCCCCACCCGTGGCGCCCCCGCCCCCCTTAAGAGTGAATCCAGCGCCTCGCCTGAGACATCATTACAATCTGCCCCGAAAGCAAAAGATTGTCGGCACGCAAACAGGCAAACCACCTGAGGCATCCCACACTCTGGGGGCGAATCCTAGTGTCCCCACCTCTGGCGCCCCTCACTGGGGTGCCCAAATACTGCGCCTGCTATATCGCGGTGAACATTGGACCACCAATGAATTTGAGTGAGTCTGAGTCCGAGCAGGAGAGGAGTATGAGTGTGAGTTCGACTGAGTGTGACTGAGTCCGAGAGTGAGTGAGTCTGAGTGTGAGTGAGTCTGAACATGAGTGAGTCTGAGTCAGCCTGAGTCTGAGTATGAGTGAGTCTGATTATGATTGAGTCTGACTGTGAATGAGTCTGATTGTGAGCAAATCAAGGTAACAGTGAGTCTGAGTGTGAGCGAGTTCGAGTGTGAGTGATTCTGACTGTGACCGAATATGAATGAGTCTGAGAGTGAGCGAATCACTCTGGCTGAGGAAGAGGAGGAAGAGGAGAAAGAGGAGATGAGGAGGAGGAGGGGAGGAGGATGTGTTCGTTCTCGAAGGCCGTCTACAAGACGGCAAGGAACCATCCTAGGATACGGGAAACCTTAACACTTTCTTACGATATAGGGGAACAACAAGAACCAAGCTTTAAGATATTGAGGGAAAACGGCGCAAGCGGCACATCCCTGCCTTCGAGCTCCGCATGCCGGAAGAGGCGCCGACCCCGAGATCCGCCGGGTGGCAACTCCGAACCCTGCCCCAACCGAGCCTCGATCCTCCCGAACTGCTGGGAGGGCGGGGCGGGGCTCGGATCTCACAGCGTGTCCGACGAGTTCCGCCTCCGTGCCCCCGCCGACCCTCGCGTTGCCCGATTCGCCGCTCGGCGAGGGCAGGGCTCGGGCTTCGCCGCCGGAAGGCTCCCCCTCGCCATCGCTCGGGACCACTCCCTGTGTCTTTGCTCGGTTTCGTGCGTGGCTTTTTTTTTGACACCCGAAATGGGTACCGAAAGAATGGGCAACATGCCCAACAACAAATGTTGTCCCGAACCAACAGCGGCCGCTGTTGGGCGGGCGACCTCCTGTCTCGAATGGACAGAGGCCGCGGCGGCGTGGACAGCAAATCCTGTTCAAAATGAACAGGAACTGCAGTTGGGCATAGTACCCATTCTTTCAATACCCATTTCGGGCGTCCAGATTTTTCGCCAGATGATCGAGGATGCTCCTCGATGGTCCTCGCCGACGATACAACGCACGCGTCCGAGCGATGCCCGGCCCCCCAAAACGCCCCTCGCGGGGCCGCGGTCCGCCGCCCCCCCCCCGTGTGCGGCGCCCTGCGGCGGCGCGGCCACGCCGCCGGCGACGGCGCCGCCGCTGCTGCCGGCGCGCCGCCGCCGCCGCCGCGTGCAGGAGCAGCAGTTGTCGCCGCCTCCTCCTCCTCCGCCTCCTCCTCCTCCTCCTCCTCCTCCTCCTCCTCCTCCTCCTCCTCCCCCTCCTCCTCCTCCTCCTCCTCCTCCTCCTCCGGGAAGCCGGGTAGGATCGAGGTGTGCGCCGTTATCGGGCCCCGTCGGCACGTTCCGTGGCAACCCGTGGGGGCATCCCATGTCATCCGTGCTGGTTCTTGCGAACCCGCGCTCTAGGGGAGGAGGACCGAAGCGAATCAAAGCTAACCCACGCTAACCGATGCTAACTCTTTAGCGCTTTTCGATTAGCTGATTAGCTGCCAGACTCTGGCGCACGCCAAAGCGCTCCAAAGGCTCCAGTGATGGGCCACCGAAGGCACGGAGTCGAGACCGAATCGGCTCAGCCGCGCCAGGATGCAAAGCAGCGCCACGCGAGCATCGGGCCGCGGCCTGGAACTTCGGAGATATGGAATCGAATCGGATCGAGCCAGCCGGAAACGATACCGAATCGTACGGATCGGATCGGAGTTGGCCCTGCGATGGGCAGCGCAGCAGCGCAGCGTAGCGGAGCGCAGCGCAGCGCAGCGCAGCGGAGCAGCGCAGCGTCGGCGGTGCGGCACAGCCGCCGCGGGGCTGCCGCGGCGTCCCCCCGCGCGCGCCCGAGACCGAGGGCTCCTGACTTCCGCCGCGCCGCCGGCGTCGCGCCCCTCCGCGGCCTGGATCAGAGCAGACCTGGGTGGCGGAGGGCGTCGTCGTCGCGGTCGCCGCCACCGTCCCCCTGCTCAAACCACTGCTCCTGCTCCTGCTCCCTCTCCTGCTCCTTCTCCTGCTCCTCCTCCTCCTCCTCCTCCTCCTCCTCCTCCTCCTCCTCCTCCTCCTCCTCCTCCTCCTCCTCCTCCTCCTCCGCCTCGGCCTCGGCCTCCTCCTCCTCCACCTCTTGCTTCTCCTCCTCCTCCTCCCTCCTCCTCCTCCTCCTCCTCCTCTCCTCCTCCTCCTCCTCCTCCTCCTCTCCTCCTCCTCCTCCTCCTCCTCCTCCTCCTCCTCCTCCTCCCTCCTCCTCCTCCTCCTCCTCCTCCTCCTCCTCCTCCTCCTCCTCCTCCTCCTCCTCCTCCTCCTCCTCCTCCTCCTCCTCCTCCTCCTCCTCCTCCTCCTCCTCCTCCCCCTCCCCTTCCTCCTCCTCCCTCCTCCTCCTCCTACTCCCCTCCTCCTCCCCTCCTCCTCCTCCTCCGGGAAGCCGGGTAGGATCGAGGTGTGCGCCGTTATCGGCCCCATCATCATCATCATCATCATCATCATCATCATCATCATCATCATCATCATCATCATCATCATCATCATCATCATCATCATCATCATCATCATCATCATCATCATCATCATCATCATCATCATCATCATCATCATCATCGTCATCATCATCATCATCATCATCATCATCATCATCATCACCCATTCCTTTTCCTTGTAGATAACTTTTCCCTGTCGCACCCCGAGGCAAGTTTTTAGAGCGAGCCGGGCGTTCGCCTGAGACTTCCTAACCACTTATGACTCTGAAGCTTGAAAAGTGGCAACAGCTTCGTGGATTGAGGGCGGGTCGTTGTCAAAATGTGGCTCTCGCCTTAGCGCGGAGCACTTCTGCAAGAGCTTCACGGATTCAGGGCGGGTGGTTTTCAAAAGGTGGCTCTCGCCTAAGCGCGGCGCACATTCGTTTACAATTGAGGGCGAGTGGTTTTAAGAATGTGGGTCTCGCCTTAGCGCGGCGTACATTCGTCTAAAAAACAGAGCTTCACGCATTGAGGGCGAGTGGTTTTCAAAATGTGGCTCTCGCCGTAGCGCCGCACACATTCGTTAAAAAATGCAAGAGCTTCACGGACTGAGGGCGGCTCCTTTTCAGAATGTGGCTCTCGCCTTAGCGCCGCGCACCTGCGTTTTAAACATTTGCAAGGGTTCCACGGGTTCCCATCATCAACATACCAGAAATAGCGTTCTGGAAAGATTTAAGATTATGCGGGCGCAACAGTTACGTTGATTCTCTGTGTTGAAGTCCTAGGAATGGCGTTCTGGCACGACTCAGGATCGTCAAGGCGCAACAGTTAGGTTGATGCGTGGCGTTGGAATCCCGAGAGCAATGTTTTGGCATGCTCCAGGGTATTCAAACGAGTGTCTTCCAGCGACGCAGTTCCATCAATGGGAATGAACCGTTGTAGGGGCCTATGAAGAGGGAGCTTGGAGGGAGGGCTTACTCCAACATCGTTGATGACTCTTGGGTTTACACTGGTCCTCCTCCTCCTCTTCATCATGATCCTCACCCTCATCCTCATCCTCCTGCTCATAGTCCTGGTCTGGTCCTGCCCCTGCTCCTGCTCCTGCTCTTGCTCCTGCTCCTGCTCCTCCTCCTCCTCCGCCTCCTCCTCCTCCTCCTCATCATGCTCCTGATGCTCCTGATGCTCCTACTACTACTACTACTACTACTACTACTACTACTACTACTACTACTACTACTACTACTACTACTACTACTACTACTACTACTACTACTAACTACTACTACTACTACTGCTACTACTACTACTACTACTACTCCTACTACTACTCCTGCGACCACTACTACTACTACTACTGCTGTTACTACTACTACTACTA